CCCAGACTCAAAGTCCATAATAGATCCGCTATTTTGTACAACAGGAGCTATCAACATCCGTAGAGGTTTATAGACATTTCTTAGCACCAAATACTCTCTCATCACACTTTTCTTTCTTTCCTCTCCCTCTGCCTTATGCATGCACCAGTCCGCACTTTATCATTTCTATCTCGGTTACCACACAATACCTTTTAACATGCACAGACGCGCACGCTGCACATAATACTCGAAAGAGGGTGATGCAGAATATAGATAGATAGATAGAGGTACTGACACGGAATTGATAGTCCTAAGTCCGTGGTACTGAGCTACATATTAGAATATCAATATTTCTGTGGGAGTTTAAAATGGTCACAAACATATACATGTAGCTATAATGTCTTACAAGCATCGTATACATCAGGACCTTATAGACTGCATGCCGTCAATCATTTTTAAAATTAACAACAATTTGATGAAGAGAACGGACTGGCATCCCCCCCCCCTTTTTTTGTGTTCATAATATGTTGTGTTTACCGGTCGTTTAAAAAAATGGGGTTTCAAAAACTGGCCGGGGTAAATGCAGACGTATACGTCTCTGCTGCAAGGCAATGCGTTCAGGTTACAGATGTCAAAAGCGGAAAAATTGTAACTTTACCGGAATCGTTTTAGTCAACCAATTTCAACTTCCGGTGTATTCGCGGAATCAACCCTTTGTAGATCTATCTTTGCAGAATAGTGAGTACAAATGCGCTGACAATATAATTTCCCAGTTAAATTGCTCACGCAATTTTATGAAGAGACTCCAATTGCATTTTAAGGACGTGTATGTTACCACGGAAAGTGAACCGACATCGATTAACATTATGGGAGGTGGTAGGTACCTACGACTGTGTTTTGTCAACAATGACAACATGAATATGACTCTTGCCAGTTATGATACAGTGTACGGAACATCAAGATCACTCCATAGGATCATGTGTGAGGTGTCCAAAAGGAGCTTGCTGATTTCTATTTGAACCTTGAGTAGCTGGCAGACGACATCGATTTTGGATGGAGAACACAAACTGACCCCTAGGCCTACTGAGACAAAGTAGATTCTACTTCAATCATGACTGATATGAGTATTAAAACATTATGGAAAATAGACGAATCCCTCGATGTTTCTGAGGCGAGTGAGGGTGCGAGCCCCACTACACCCACATCACAGATCGGTATTCCAACTGCATCAATAATGAATGACATTGGTGTGAAATCACCATGGAAATTAGATGAATCTCCTGATGCCAATGATTTGGCTGAGGGTGCCAGTCCCTCAGCAACCATGTCAAAGATCGTTATTGAAAATTGTGTGGCGATATTGCCTGAGGCTGATGAAACTGAGAATGAAAGTCATGTAGCTCTTGGGAATATACGAAGTGATTTATGTATTCCTGACAGGGCAGGTCTTATTTTAGCTAGCAATGGCAGGTATACAGTGAAAAGGAAACTGAACGTCAAATCTATTGAGACAAAGTATGAAGCTATACTTGCTGTTGAGCGCGGAAATAGGAGAAAGTCAGACATTGCAAAGGATTTTGGAATTCCGTCAAATACCTTGTCATCATGGCTGAAGTGTGCTGACAAAATTAAAAATGCCTTCTTAAACAGTACCTATGGCCCAGAGAGGAAGAAAATGCGGACTGGACATTTTGAATATATTGAACAAGCTCTTTATAAATGGTATGATGAGGCCAGGCGACAAAACATTCCTGTTTCTGGTACAATTCTAAAAAATATAGCTGGGGAAATTGCAAATAGTATGGGAGAAACCAACTTCAAATGTTCCACAGGATGGCTAGACAGATTCAAAGGGCGTTATGCAATAAGTTTTAAAAATGACAAGGGAAAATACTTTCCATCATTGTGTTCACAATCACACCCAAATGACATTTACAATGCAACTGAAACAGGGCTGTTGTATTGCATTCTTCCAAATAAGGAGAGCTTAGCCACATTAAACTTTCCTAGGGCACAGAATAATGACGAAAGGTTTACACTGATGGTTGGTACGAACATGACTGGTACCGATAAGTTACCGTTGCTTGTGATCGGCAAGGAAGACAATCCTTTCCATTCTGGAAATCATACATCACTTGCATCATGTTTGAAATATGTTTCAACTGAGAATGTGTTTATGACATCTGAAATTTTCACTAATTGGATTTTGGATCTGGATATGAAGTTTCATGAAAAGAACAGAAAGGTTACTTTGATTTTGGATCGGAATGCTGTTCATCCTGCGATAGAAGGCCTAAAGGCAATATCACTTGTGTTTGTTCCAGCAACTGATCGCAAACTGCAGCCAATGAATCAGGGCGTCCTTCATCACCTCAAGGTCCAGTACAGAAAGAATCTTATCACTCGCCAAGAACAACTACAAGACACAGACCTAAAAATAAATGTTAAAGATGCGATACTGCTCTTGGACGAAGCTTGGAATAGTGTTGGGCCTGCAAAAATCTTCAGTTGCTTCAAACTGTCTGGAATAAAATCAATGGACGTTGAGGAGGGAGATATAATTCCAACCACAGATGAAGAGGATGAAGATAAAAACATAATTTTACATTCATTTGACTTCCAGCGAATCTTAGATGAGTATGCTCGGATGGATGAGAACATATCCACATGCGAACCTCAGACTTGTAGACCAACTGATGATTCTGGAATTGTAAATAGTAACAGCACAACATTAGAAAAGTACTATGCTAGCACGTTTATGACAACAGGAAATTCTGAGGTCCCAACATCTCGTAATGTGTTCGATGGTAGACAGGCAGATGTCGGTGATCATTCGTTTGGTGGTAATTTGTCCCAAGTTCTTCCAGTGACGGACATCTCTGATGACAATGTGATGACAATGAGAAATCAAAATTACGGAGATAGTGACCATAGTATAGACACTGGTCATCAGCAGAGGTCGCAAAGTGCTTCCGAGGACAACAATCATTCAAGTCCATCGACAATGGATGCCATGCAAGCATGTGTTACTCTGAGGGCCTACCTTGACGCTCAGAACAATACAAGTGAACTTCTCGAAACATTGGCAAAGATATCAGACCGCGTGATGAAAGAAGCCCTGGTTGAGCATCAGTCACAGCAGAGTACTGCTGGTGTAGAAAAAAGTAGTAGGACCAGTACCTCTAGTAGTAATTCAGATAGGTTTCATGTGAAACATGAAAACATAGACATTTAATAAGGAAATTATGAAAATTGTAGACATTCACTTAAAAATCTCCAAGGCATCTCTCTCCAAAATGTTAAATCATCATGTTATATATAGACTATGCAGTCAACCCTAGACCCCAAGTACCAACACTGAACAGTCCATTTGTGCCACTACATAATTAATAATGCACAGTGATTTTGGTAACATATATCCCGTTTCCTATTAAATTTATTACAGACCTTGATATCCAATTTATCAGGGAAGGAAAGTACATTGTAGGTAATGAACAAGGTTTGGTTGTATTGTATTGAATCTCATATCATATATCTAGGGGTGTTAAGTGCATTGTTTATCTGCCTACATTTTTTTTAAGTGTTCCATTCATGCCTATATATATACATGTTTCAAAGTGACTTTAAATCATGTCTAGGTAGGCATTGGATGAAACATTTAAGTTTCTGATACATGTATACATTGGTATGTAAGTTTCACTTGACAGTACAATTATATAGTTCTACATTCATCTACCTGAATTATAGGATACTCATTGTGTTCTCGAAGAATTTGCAGTTCAATTGATTGGAAATATATATCAACTCCAGATTATAGTGATGTGTCGTTGGTAAAATCTCTTTCAAAATAAGTACACCGTTGAAATTTGAAAAAGGTAGAGAAAATCAGAGTTCTAATTGCCTCCTCTCCCCAAACAACAGATTAACATCAAGTACACATGCATTTTTAATTCCACGTTCAAGAAAAGTGGTAATCATTACAGTAATTTATAACACTATGAAAAAATACCTTAAATCTTTTTAATAGGACCATCATTTTTAAGCTCACCAGCCCTACCAAGTTCGTTCATATAAATGACCTTGACTTGCGTTGTTTTCAACTCAACTTCCTAGCAAGTTTGTTCAAGTAGATGACCTTGAATTAAGTTTAAGATCATCAGCCCTATCAAGTTTGTTGAAATAAATGACCTTGATTTGAATTATTTTGAACTCACCAGCCCTATCAAGTTTGTTGAAATAAATGACTTTGATTTGAATGATTTTTAACTCACCAGGCTATCAAGTTTGTTCAAATAAATTACCTTCATTTACTTTATCTTACTAGCCCATCAAGTTTGTTCAATTAAATGACCTTGACCTACTTCATTTTTACCTCACCAGCCTTATCAAGTTTGTTCAAATTAATGACCTTGATCACTTACTTTGAAGGTTGTATGATTAAAGTAAGTTAATATAATATTATGATAAACAAGAGGCCCAAGAGGGCCTGTATCGCTCACCTGAATATTTAAGCAGTCATAGCAAAATATTCTCATTAAATATTATATTGCACTAAAAATATTTCCCTCACAAACTTTGTTGGCTCCATCTGTTGAAATTACCAGCAAAATATTATTATAAGATTCTATGCTTTTTGATTCTTCTTCAGAAGTTGCTTGACATATTTATCCCTGTGATCTTGTAAGTAGGTCAATGTCATTTTCCTTCTTTAATTGGTTAGCTCTATTCAAAAAAGCTACCAGCCAAATCTTATGAATCCATTCCTTTTAGTTCTCAAGAACAAATCCATTAAAATGTTGTTGACCTCTGTGACCTCTAAAGTAGGTTGAGGTCATTTTCATTTGCAAACTTTGGTGAGCTCTATCCCGGGAAGTCACCAGCCAAATATTATAATTTTATGCCTTTTAATTCTTCAGAAGAAGCTGTTTGAACTGTTTGACATATTTGAACGCTGTGACCTTGAAAGTAGGTCAAGGTCATTTTCATTCGCAAACTTTGTTTGGCTCTTTCCCAGGAAGCCACCTGCCAAATATTAAGATTTTATAACTACCAGTTCTTCAGAAGAAGTCGTTTAAAGTGTTTGACATATCTGCCTCATGTGACCTTAAAAGAAGGTCAAGGTCATTTTCATTCTCAAACTTTGTTCGGCTCTTTCCTAGGAAGCTACAAGCCAAATATAGAGATTATATACCTTTCAGTTCTTCAGAAGAAGTCGTTTGAAGTGTCTGACACATTTGACTCCTGTGACCTTGAAAGAAGGTCAAGGTCATTTTCATTCTCAAACTTTGTCGGGCTCTATCCAAGGAAGCCATCAATCAAAAATAAAGATTCTATACCTTTCAGTTCTTCAGAAGAAGTCATTTGAAGCTTTTGACATATATGACCCCTGTGACCTTGAAAGTAGGTCAAACTAGTTTTCATTCTCAAACTTTGTTGGGCTCTATCCCAGGAAGCCACCAGCCAAATATAAAGATTATATACCTTTCAGTTCTTCAGAAGAAGTCGTTTGAAGTGTTTGACACATTTGACCCCTGTGACCTTGAAAGAAGGTCAAGGTAATTTTCATTCTCAAACTTTGTTGGGCTCCATCCAAGGAAGCCATCAGCCAAATATGAAGATTCTATACCTTTTAATTCTTCAGAAGAAGTCGTTTGAAGTTTTTGACATATTTGACCCCTGTGACCTTGAAAGTAGGTCAAACTAATTTTCATTCTCAAACTTTGTTGGTCTCTATCCCAGGAAGCCACCAGCCAAATATAAAGATTATATACCTTTCAGTTCTTCAGAAGAAGTCGTTTGAAGTGTTTGACACATTTGACCCCTGTGACCTTGAAAGAAGGTCAAGGTAATTTTCATTCTCAAACTTTGTTGGGCTCCATCCAAGGAAGCCATCAGCCAAATATGAAGATTCTATACCTTTTAATTCTTCAGAAGAAGTCGTTTGAAGTTTTTGACATATTTGACCCCTGTGACCTTGAAAGTAGGTCAAACTAATTTTCATTCTCAAACTTTGTTGGTCTCTATCCCAGGAAGCCACCAGCCAAATATAAAGATTATATACCTTTCAGTTCTTCAGAAGAAGTCGTTTGAAGTGTTTGACACATTTGACCCCTGTGACCTTGAAAGAAGGTCAAGGTAATTTTCATTCTCAAACTTTGTTGGGCTCCATCCAAGGAAGCCATCAGCCAAATATGAAGATTCTATACCTTTTAATTCTTCAGAAGAAGTCGTTTGAAGTTTTTGACATATTTGACCCCTGTGACCTTGAAAGTAGGTCAAACTAATTTTCATTCTCAAACTTTGTTGGTCTCTATCCCAGGAAGCCACCAGCCAAATATAAAGATTCTATACCTTTCAGTTCTTCAGAAGAAGTCGTTTGAAGTGTTTGACACATTTGACCCCTGTGACCTTGAAAGTAGGTCAAGGTCATTTTCATTCTCAAACTTTGTTGGGCTCTATCCCAGGAAGCCATCAGCCAAATATGAAGATTCTATACCTTTTAATTCTTTAGAAGAAGTCGTTTGAAGTTTTTGACATATTTGACCCCTGTGACCTTGAAAACAGATCAAGGTCATTTTCGTTCTCAAACTTTGTAGGGCTCCTACCAACGAAGCTTTCAGCCAAATATCATGACTCTAGGCCTGTCCGTTCTTCAGAAGAAGTTGTTTAAAGGAAAAGTTGATGGATGAGGACGGACGGACGGACGGACGGACGGACGACGGACGCCGCGCCACGGCATAAGCTCACTTGGCACTTTGTGCCAGGTGAGCTAAAAAGGGTAAAATGATACTTAGCCTGTATTGTTAGCTTCCTTGCTTTGACGATTGTTGATATAAATTTGACCTTCACCCACATACTCTGGAAGTCACAGATGTGAGACGTGTTTACCAAAATCATTGAACAACAGTTAGCCCTTTCACCCCTATGCAACTTTGGTAGACTCCCCCATGCATTGATCTAGACGAGTCCATTATGGTCTACAGTGGTGAAAGGGTTAAGCAAAACGTGCCAAACATTTGTACCAAGTTTATATGCCCCCCTCAATTATTTGTTTTGAGGGGTGGGCCGGCTTGTATAAGAAATTTAAAAATTCACCATACATATTTTTAGTTTTTGGCCAAAGCATAATACATACTGTCATCTTTACTAAAGAGGCTATTTTATACCGTTTCTATAATATTGAGTATTATGATTGATTTTATGTTATATTAAATATCACTGTAATCTTCTTGCTCCCATCATTGTTTTTTGTTTTAAAAGTGCATAATAATGAATTAATGTGTTCACATGTTTAGATCTGTTAACATTAGGGTGAAGTTTTTGGTTGTTTCTTACTAAATGTGCAGGTTACTTTTGATAATGAACATTGCATTACCTGGTATGTATTGTATTCTTACACAATATATAAATTTCAATGTTCATGACAATGTATGCAGAATCTATTGGATATTGTAAGGGCATTGTCAAGTATATATACATTTATGAGAAAATACAATTGTTTAATTTATAATTGTCTGTGTTTTTATATCATTTAACAAGGGGCCCATCAGCCTTAATGGTCACCCGAGTCCTACAGTATTTATTTTTGTTGCTGAAATATTAAATGGAGATATCGTCCCTACCAATTTGAGTAAAAAATAGTTAAGTATAACATTAAGGTAAATTTGTCAGGATCATTCCTAGACCAAGTTTCAGTTAAATCGGCATATTAGAAGTTGATTTTAAGTTTGAACTAGTCTTTTTTTCAAAATGGTGGCCGTGGCGGCCATATTGGATTTTTGAATGGCCCGAAATGAAAAGAACACTTTGCCAGGACCATGAGTCGATCATTTCTACCAAGTTTCAGTTAAATCGGCCGGGTAGAACTTGACTTCAAGTTTGAAATAGGTTTTCAAAATGGTGGCCATATTGGATTTCTGATCAAACTGAAAAATAACAACACTTGGTCAGGGAGATGTCAGGAACATCCCAATGAAGTATCAATGGAATCCCTTTAACAGTATTTCAGCTTCAGTTGAAAATGTAAAATGCAAGACGACGGATAACAAGAGGCCACTCGAGCTTTAGCTCAGGTGACCTAAAAATTGAATCCCATTTGTTGAATTCTTTTTCATACCTTCACGGAAAAAAAGGCCTTATATTGGGGGCAATCAATATCCCCCGACCTCTGAACAACCTTTGGACTTAAACACCAGGGGACATAACATAACATAAAGGTTCAAAACTGAATATGAGAAGGTAATTGGTGGTAATTGGTACTGTAGGTACATGTATGTGTAAAAAGATTCACAAATTAATTGTCACACAGAAACCATTTGTACGGATGACACTAACTGGTTTTATTTGTCACCTTTGCTTATAGTGTTGCCCATGACCATCCCATCATGTATAACAATACCTCCGACATTTGTCTTTTAGGGTTCCAAGATGAAGGCCAAGGTCACAGTTACTGTATACAGAAAATCATCAACCGACTCATTGTCCTCACTCTAGCTACTTAATTTCTTAACTGACTTTTATCAAAGTTTATGCAGATTTCAAGTATGAGAATACCTCGGATGGGCTTATGTTTCAAGATTCCAAGGCCAAGGTCACCATTGCTATTTATAGAAAATCATCAACCAATTCAGTGTCATCAGTCTACTAACTTTATTTCCTAATTGATTTTAATCAAAATTTACACAAAGGTCAGGTATACATCTTTGTGTTTCAGAGTTCTAAGATCAAGTTCATGGTCACTTGCTATACAGTGAAGCCCACTTATTATGATATACAGTGAAACCCACTTATTATATCTTATTTGCAAGAGAAAAATATCATAACAAGAGGCCCAAGAGGGCCTGTATCGCTCACCTGAATATTTAAGCAGTCATAGCAAAATATTCTCATTAAATATTATATTGCACTAAAAATATTTCCCTCGCAAACTTTGTTGGCTCCATCTGTTGAAACTACCAGCAAAATATTATTATAAGACTCTATGCTTTTTGATTCTTCTTCAGAAGTTGCTTGACATATTTTTCCCTGTGATCTTGTAAGTAGGTCAATGTCATTTTCCTTCTCAAATTGGTTAGCTCTATTCCAAAAAGCTACCAGCCAAATCTTATGAATCCATTCCTTTTAGTTCTCAAGAACAAATCCATTAAAATGTTGTTGACCTCTGTGACCTCTAAAGTAGGTTGAGGTCATTTTCATTTGCAAACTTTGGTGAGCTCTATCCCGGGAAGTCACCAGCCAAATATTATAATTTTATGCCTTTTAATTCTTCAGAAGAAGCTGTTTGAACTGTTTGACATATTTGAACGCTGTGACCTTGAAAGTAGGTCAAGGTCATTTTCATTCGCAAACTTTGTTTGGCTCTTTCCCAGGAAGCCACCTGCCAAATATTAAGATTTTATAACTACCAGTTCTTCAGAAGAAGTCGTTTAAAGTGTTTGACATATCTGCCTCATGTGACCTTAAAAGAAGGTCAAGGTCATTTTCATTCTCAAACTTTGTTCGGCTCTTTCCTAGGAAGCTACAAGCCAAATATAGAGATTATATACCTTTCAGTTCTTCAGAAGAAGTCGTTTGAAGTGTCTGACACATTTGACTCCTGTGACCTTGAAAGAAGGTCAAGGTCATTTTCATTCTCAAACTTTGTCGGGCTCTATCCAAGGAAGCCATCAATCAAAAATAAAGATTCTATACCTTTCAGTTCTTCAGAAGAAGTCATTTGAAGCTTTTGACATATATGACCCCTGTGACCTTGAAAGTAGGTCAAACTAGTTTTCATTCTCAAACTTTGTTGGGCTCTATCCCAGGAAGCCACCAGCCAAATATAAAGATTATATACCTTTCAGTTCTTCAGAAGAAGTCGTTTGAAGTGTTTGACACATTTGACCCCTGTGACCTTGAAAGAAGGTCAAGGTAATTTTCATTCTCAAACTTTGTTGGGCTCCATCCAAGGAAGCCATCAGCCAAATATGAAGATTCTATACCTTTTAATTCTTCAGAAGAAGTCGTTTGAAGTTTTTGACATATTTGACCCCTGTGACCTTGAAAGTAGGTCAAACTAATTTTCATTCTCAAACTTTGTTGGTCTCTATCCCAGGAAGCCACCAGCCAAATATAAAGATTCTATACCTTTCAGTTCTTCAGAAGAAGTCGTTTGAAGTGTTTGACACATTTGACCCCTGTGACCTTGAAAGTAGGTCAAGGTCATTTTCATTCTCAAACTTTGTTGGGCTCTATCCCAGGAAGCCATCAGCCAAATATGAAGATTCTATACCTTTTAGTTCTTTAGAAGAAGTCGTTTGAAGTTTTTGACATATTTGACCCCTGTGACCTTGAAAACAGGTCAAGGTCATTTTCGTTCTCAAACTTTGTAGGGCTCCTACCAACGAAGCTTTCAGCCAAATATCATGACTCTAGGCCTGTCCGTTCTTCAGAAGAAGTTGTTTAAAGGAAAAGTTGACGGACGAGGACGGACGGACGGACGGACGGACGGACGACGGACACCGCGCCACGGCATAAGCTCACTTGGCACTTCGTGCCAGGTGAGCTAATAACCGTTCAAGCTCTTTTCAATCGTTTTTATGTTGTCTGAACCAGAGGTGAGATGCCCTATATCAATCGGACAGATTGATGTGGAAACATGGAAAAATATAAATACAAAAAAGATAAATTAATAAGTGAAATAACAATGTATATAGAAAACGTTGAGGGATTCAGTGCTATCACTCCAGGTACTTAATTTCTTAACAGATCTTGATCAACGTTTATACAGATTTCTGGTATGAGAATACCTTGGATGAGCTCATGTTAGAAAATGTTTCTATATTTCTTCATTTATCAACTTGAAGTTTGATAATATCTTGAATGCATACATAGTTCAGGGTTACAATATCTAAGTCGTTGGTTACTACTTGTAGAACACTATCAAACACCGAAACTAATTTCACGTGGCAGCGGGGGCATTCATGTCTTGCAGACAATTTTCCTTGGCCATATCCTTTTTGTTCTGTTTGTTGTTGCAAGTAGTTGTACTCTAATGAATTGTTCCAAGATTGGCATTTGAATACAACAAAATAAATGTTAAAAGAACATTATACACTTTATTTCGTTTTGACCACATGAAACAGCAATTACAAATTGTATAACAAACGTATTACAAATTGAACTGGATTCTGCTGGAAAAAATAAACTACCAGTACATACACAGTATGTAGTACATTATAGACAACAGTTCTGGAACACTTTACACACTCGTACATCTTACAGTTCATTTAAAAACGTCATCTTACCATCTGCATTCAATGCAGTAGGAAAATTGGGTTTAGTAGGAATATTCAAATCCTTTCTAGTGTATACAGAGTTATTTTTACAGCAATGCTATTTTTGCTGTAACGATGTATTGGAAAGTCAAAACAAGCTCATTTGTAGTGTTTATATTCGCTGCATTCAGGACGAGTTATATTTGTTGTTCATTATTGTTGTTTGGTGAAGACATATCATTGAGTACACACTAGACAAATTCTGTGTTGCTAGTTGGTTTTGCTATGAAAATTTTCATTACCAAACTGAGATTTTCATAATTTCTATTGTGATTTGATATCGATGTTTAAAAGCAGAACTATTCTAGAACTCCACTATTTGCACAGTTAATCAATAGTCCTACAATTTGTAAAGTTTTTTAACAGTTCTACAATTTCTCAAGTTCAACATTTTATAGTTCTTCACAACTGTCTCACAATGCACATAGTTAAACAGTTTGATAATGTATAGTTCTATAACAGTTCCACAAGTTCAAGGGAAAATGAGATCCGACGTCTGTTAGTGGATGTTGAGTGAAATTCTGTGTACCCCAATTGATGGATTCCTAAATGGAATTCACTCGTCATGCCATAAGAGTAATCGAAATTCTTAAGAAAAGATGACCAGACTATTCCGTCTTTTCGTATTGCAGAGTTATCTGCTCTTGTGAGCAGGTATTGATTGTTACGTCATTTGTTCGTGAGAGTAACGTCATCAATTTTTGAGAAAATGACGTGATTTTCTCACACAAACCAAAGACGTAACTATTAATACCTGCTCACAAGAGAAGATAACTGCAATACGAAAAGACGGAATATCAAATGGGGAATCTCGGACAAATTTAATCCAGTTTACATGATTCTGTCCACTACATGGGCTGTCATCAGAACAAAATACAATTTTCATAGTTCCACAATTTGTAAAGTTGTATAACACTTTCTTGGCATTCATTAATTTGAAAGGAAATAGGTTCTGTAATCCACGGATGATGTCTGCTTGTAGACATCGGAATGAAAATCACGTCACTTCTGCATCTCTTTCTATGCCTACAAACTTTAACTGCTCTGTTGGACCATATCTGTCAAAGAAAAACACAAACAAATATGACATAATGTTCTTTTAATCAACAATATGACACGTTTCCACCCTTAGACCAATGAATAGCACACAAAACCTAAGATATAATGGGTCAAAATTTTCAAAAATATATTAACCAAGGCTTTTGCCAAGAATATCGAGGTTTTTAATTCCAACAAACATGTACAGTGAGATCTCAAAATTTAATAAACGGTTTATTAGTTACTGCTCAGACAAGATATCATTAGAACCAGAACCAGAAGACCCAATATTAATACAGCTTCCTTTCAAGAGAAGAACTAACCTGTAGTCGAAGAAGAGTTCCTCCCCGGACTGTATTGGACGTTTGGCAAAGATACCAATCCTGTGGTCCCCGTTCACCATCATCACCTTGGCATAACAGTTGGGATTAACTGAATGGTTGGCAAAGCGGATCTTGTTTCCTTTCCTGGTCGCATCCACCACAAAATCTGCCAAGGGGAAATAAATACGTTGAACGTGGAATCACAAGATACCTCAACTATTTCTAAATTTTAACATGAAATATTATAAACTTAAGGATTAAACATTAATGAGATCTTCATAGAGAGATCATACTGATCTTCTGTATTTATAAATCTGAATAATTCCTGTCAAACATCTAATACACTGTACACGGATGATATTTCAGCCCCCCCCACCCGACCAATCCACATACTAAAATTTCAAATTGTTCATTATGGTGGGATTTTTTTGGTTTCTTTTCATTTAGTATAGAATGATGTCCAACGTGTATGAATTTAGTCCTAATTGACAAATGATTTATTAAAGCCAGAATAATCTCTGAATAATGAAAGATCTAATAAAACAGACTAGAGCCTACCATTGTTGAGATTGAACAGGAAGCTACACATGTACTTGTCATAGACTTTCCCTCGCCGGTCTGCCTCGTCCTGAGATATTATCTAGAACAGAAAACAATTTAGTATGGGCACCGATTACAAACAATCTTCAGACATAGATTTTCATATGTATGAAAGTTTTGTTGACATCAGATTTTCAGGAATTTTCATCATTCAGTGTTTAACTATCCATCTACAAACTTAGGTTTTATAAATTATTATGAACTTCAAATTCAATCAGTACAGGTAGAAAGGACAAGTCATTAAACAAATGTTTTTTAACCTTGACAATTCACTCCCAAAAATTAAGGTCCAGTACTAGTCTTGACAATGTAAATATTTTGTGATTATATACGTGAAAAGTGAGATCGGGTCTTGACTATGTACTTTGATTTCATGGCTAATCTTCCTCCACAAATTCATTGGTCCACAAAGTAATAACAAGTTTGAAATAAAGCAATTCTCCATAGGATTTGGTACTCGTAATCCACAAATTCATGCAACACCTAAATGGTGTTTTATTTCGGGAAACCACAAAATTTGGATCCCACAAAAACATCCAATTTCACAGTAACTTTTTAAAAAAAATTATATATGGGAAATCAAATGCAAAGTCCAGTCTTGACAATGTAAATTTGACTGTAACTGATGAAAATAACGTCTGTCATTGAAAATGTTAATGTTTCTCGATTAAACATGAGGAATGCAAGACCATCCGCCATGACAAATGTGTGGTACCGTCAAGACGTTATTTTATAGATATTGTTATATTGACTGTCAAGACGTTATTTTATAGATATTGTAATATTGACTGTCAAGATGTTATTTTATAGATATTGTAATATTGACAGTCTGTTATTTAATAGATATTGTTATATTGACTGTCAAGACGTTGTTTTGTAGATATTGTTATATTGATTGTCAAGACGTTATTTTATAGATATTGTAATATTGACTGTCAAGACGTTATTTTATAGATATTGTAATATTGACTGGCCAGACGTTGTTTTATAGATATTGTAATATTGACTGGCAAGGCGTTGTTTTATAGATATTGTAATATTGACTGTCAAGATGTTATTTTATAGATATTGTAATATTGACTGTCAAGGCGCTGTTTTATAGATATTGTAATATTGACCGTCAAGATTTTATTTTATAGATATTGTTATATTGACTGTCAAGACGTTGTTTTATAGATATTGTAATATTGACTGTCAAGACGTTATTTTATAGATATTGTAATATTGACTGTCAAGACGTTATTTTATAGATATTGTAATATTGACTGTCAAGACGTTATTTTATAGATATTGTAATATTGACTGTCAAGACGTTATTTTATAGATATTGTAATATTGACTGTCAAGACGTTATTTTATAGATATTGTAATATTGACTGTCAAGACGTTATTTTATAGATATTGTAATATTGACTGTCAAGACGTTATTTTATAGATATTGTAATATTGACTGTCAAGACGTTGTTTTATAGATATTGTAATATTGACTGTCAAGACGTTATTTTATAGATATTGTAATATTGACTGTCAAGACGTTATTTTATAGATATTGTAATATTGACTGTCAAGACGTTGTTTTATAGATATTGTAATATTGACTTTCAAGATGTTATTTTATAGATATTGTAATATTGACTGTTAAGACGGTCAAGATGTTATTTTATAGATATTGTAATATTGACTCTCAAGACATTAAGTCTAAATTCTCAGTTACCTCTCCACAGTACTCGGATATAAATTCATTCTTTTCCGCTGGACTTTTTAAGAATATTCCCCATCCTGCTACGTCTGACGGAGCCAGCAACAGCCGCTGAAACCAGAAAATCGTTATCATTAGGTACGCTGTTCAAGTCATTAAGATCATCTCCCGTAAAAGCTTTAGTATAATGTCTTAAGCACTAGTCGCCAGGTTGACTTTGTATTTGTTTGATTGTTTAACCTTTTCACCACTGTAAACCACAATGGACTAGTCCAGATAAATGAATGGTAGAGTCTACTGATGATACCTAGGGGTGAAAGGGTTAACTCTGAAATACAGTACTTCCTTTATATGGGCTTTTTTCGATATAAATACTGTATACCAGGACATTATCGCCCAGTCAAAACTTGCGCCCCATGAAACCAATCCTCACCCAGTGTTAATTTTGCCCTCCACATTGAATTTACTCTGGACATTTTAAGCTGGGAACTTATGTTCGCTGTAATCATAAATTCACCCTCAATACAGAGAGCGAAAAAAGGTGAACTTTAAACTGCGTTAAATTGTTATACAGTAGCCTGGGGTTAGAAGAGGACAGTAACACAGAACTGCAATTATTTAAAATATATTTTGTTCCTAGGGTCCACTATAGAAATGTTCAGAATTATTTTACAACCAGTATCCCTTTAGTGTAAATGTACAGAGTTTAGTGGCAATCTTATTTGAGTGTTTTTAGTTTTAATCTTATTTTAGTGGTTTTCATCCCGAAATATTGTGCTTGATTAAGATTGCACAGAACTTTCTACATATTTTTTTCTATTACATATATTGCAGGTGAGCCACTTCATCAATGCACTAATCTGTTAAAATTTGATAAATTTGAGATTCCTAAAATATGTACACTTACAGTATTTTCAATCAGTGCCTCCCAACACCACATATACCCCTTTATCCTTCATTATTTATCCCTAACAAACTGATTCCTGATTTATATATGAGTAAATCAACCAATCCAGAAAAAAATATGACTTTATTAAAGGCAAACTGGCTCAAAAAATAAAACAGGAATGGGTTACTGGTTATACACTTTCAAACAACAGCTTCTTTGTCAAGATGCAAGTGACTTTATGTCAGCATTTCTTACCTTCCTTTGTCCCCTTTGTACGCTGACGTTCTTACAAGAAATCTTTGTGCTGTCAACAAAATGGTCTGAAAGTCAAAACAATAAATATCATTACTGGTCAATCTAACACTGGGACTACAATTTTTGAAATATATCAAACAACATTGAAGAACGGTACACGAGGAGTTTTTTGCATCAATTTCAACCTTACCGTGCAATTTTGTAAAATGGATTCTGGTTCTAGCCAAATCAGCCAACAGATAACAAAACAACAGAAGTCTCTTTTTCGTAATATAGACCAAGGTTCTAGCCAAACCTGATGACTGAATGCAAGACTGCAGAAATCTCAACACTCCTACCTGCCCCACAGGTTTGACGTAAGTCCGGATCACATTTTCAAATAAATATAGACCAAGGTTCTAGCCAAACCTGATGACAGATTACAAAACTGTAGAAATCTCAACACTCTTACCTGCCCCACAGGTTTGACGTAAGTCCGGATCACATTTTCAAATAAACATCGACCAATGTTCTAACCAAACCTGATGACAGATTACAAAACTGTAGAAATGTCAACACCCCTACCTGCGCCACAGGTCTGACATAAGTCCGGGTCACACTCGCGTACGGCCAGGAAACACGGACACTGTTTGGTATTACACTGGGCTTTACATCGACAGCCAGGAAAGCGATTCTCACCTGTCACAAACAAAACATGTTAAAAGGGAATTAAATTAATCAGAGAATTTCTCAAGCAAAGCTGCTGCATCCAGATGTATCAATGGATTTTATTACTGTTTCAAAACACAAACTACTTTCTTTCTTTTCAACACATATGGTTTTTTTTACCAATAGAAAGAAGAATTACTCAAATTGAGTTTTTCATCATCGTTCCACAATGGCCACATTTTGTTTATTTAATGTGCTCTTACTCCTATAGCGATATGTGGTATACCTATTATGTTGAAATACTGCAGTTGTTCTTAAAATGATGAAACATTTTAATGTGTCCATATCAATATGCTAACAGTAAAATGAGATTGTTACATGAATGGAATGCACATTAAATGTCTATGACCTATTAATTCATAAGGATATCTGTCATTAACCATTCCACCCCTATGTAAATTTAGTAGACTCTACCATGCATTGATATAGATGTTTCCATTATGGCCTATAGCAGTGAAAGGGATAAAGCAAACGGCTTGTTCTACTTTGTATTGTTTGTCTTCAGTCTCAAAATAGATTAAATAATAACGCAATTAAATAGAGACTTTTGATGCTTGTAAAATTTTTAGTCAAATCCCTCGGCAAACGTTGTGAAAAAATTTGCATCAAAATGACCTAGTATACAGTATTATTTCAGAATGTTTGGAGGTTCTGTCATATTTTAATTTTTAACAAGTTATATGATATCTGAAAAAGTCCCTATAGTAAATCACTCTGATATCATTTTTGTCAATAACTGAGTTTCTTTTTTATGCCCCTGCCATAAAATGGGGGAGGGGCATATAGTGTTGCCCATGTCCGTTCCATCTCATCGCGTCCAGTCCCAATCAATGAGCGGGGGCATTTATGTCTTACAGACATTTTCTAGTTTATATGGGTGATTAGTTGCAAACTAGAGAATTTGAAATAACCACATTCTTATGTAGGAAATTCATTTTTCAAAAATCAAAGTAACAACATATATATATATTCTTCTCGAACTGGATAGAAAAATAACCTACAGAATATATTCTGAACATTAGGTTAATACTTACAATCACCACTACACTGACAGAACTTTTCACAGAAGTTCTGGGCCAGGATGCACGGACACGATTCATCACAGCGCAGACCAGGGTGGTCACAGGGCTGGTAGTTATATACAGTTTTGGTGGACGAGTCTTTCTTCAACTGAATCTTTCTACAGTGCATGGACCATAACCTGCCGAACAGAAAAGTATTGAAAGTGAAACTGAACACATGCATCTCATTTTTTATATGTGATCAAAAGGAAAAGTGTTTACCATCACATTTACTCCTTTTCGATATAAAAGTGATTGAAGCTCACACTTCAATAGAATGTCATTCACCATTTTCTAAGAGCATCACTTACACCAGTAATTCTGGAAAGACATAAAGACATCTATGTTTTAAACTCTGCAAATAATTACAATAAAAATATTATTTAATTTTACATTATTTGGTTTATTCTCTTGACCAATTCACATTTGTTTATGTTACATTATTTGTCTTGGGATGAATTAAGGAGAGCATGTGCACATTACCTGTGTTTCTTTTTCGTTTTCTTGCGGGGTGGAGTTTGAGCCTTGTCCTCCCCAACATCTGGTATGTGAGCGGCTTCCTTCTTGGCAAAGTCGTACACCTGTGTCATTGACAGTGTTTAGGATTGGTCGACAACAATCAAGTAATAATCCACTCAATGTCAACAACATGTTATGTCCGAGTCAAATTGTAAAATGTTATTTTTTTCCTTTTGCAGAACATAATTATATAGTTCACTTGTTACATGCTTTTAACAAGTAGTGTTACAATTAAATCATTTAATCTTACTTGTAACAAGCATTTTCATTGGCTTAAAAAAATGATGTTATCAGCCCATAGCGTAAAAAAATGATGTCACCATTTGTAATGTCGCTTTTGATTGGCTGATACAGCGGTGAAATAGTTTCTAAGAGAAAAGAGTCCATCATTAAAAGTGGATTTCCACAGGGATTGTGTATAGTAGATTAAATTATAAGGATTGACTTGGATATATTTTTTTCTTAATTGATGCACTGTCTTGTGAAATCAAAGTGAAAGTTGAGAGGTCACACAAAAAAGCCGAGTGTACTTCATCATAAACCGCTGCAGTTTATTTAGAGTACACACCTTTTTGTGAAAAATATATTCAAGTTAATCCACAAATGAAATTTTGTTATCACTTGAGTGTTCAGCAGTGTTCAGTCATGCATGACCTGTCAACTTTCACATTTTTCAAGACAGTGCATCAATAAAGAAAAAATTCTTTCCGATCACATTTGCGTATTATACCTGTTTACAGTTCTTGGTACCAATGAGGCGAGCGATGGCGCAGTAGTTGTTCCTGTACATGTCATGGAGAACCCGGAACACAGACTCGTCTGCTCCAGTCCAACAAGGTGTGATTCTCGCCGGTCGTTTTGGCACTAGGAACTCTATGGAAATATTTTGTGGTTGTATTATTACACTGTATTTAAATGGCAGCCTGATAATGTGATAAAGATTAACACAATACAACATACAGAGATGGTACAGGACAAAACACAACATTAAAACTTAGGTTCTTTCTTCTTACACAGCAATTCGTTATTAATTTCCTTCAAACAGAACACCACAATCAGCCTCTGGGCTTTTCAGTAAACAAGAGTATCGTGGGGTGGATCAATATACGCCCGTCGAATGCCATATAGTTTTATATACTTTTTTACATTGAAATAAGATCTGCATCATTCTAAGACTGGTTAGCTGACATGCCATAAAACAAGAGGCCCATAGAGCCTGTATCGCTCACCTGGATATCTAAGCAATCATGGCAGAATATTCTCCAAATGAGATCCATGGGAATATGCCAGACCCCAAGGCCAATCCTTGTATGTAGCATATATATTTGTATTCAATTTTTTATGCCCAGCAATTTTATGTATGGTTATGGGGTGGGGATCTCAACTGTTTCCAATCTGTGACTCAGAAACTAGGTCCCTACGGTTGTGGCCAGACCCCAGGATCAGTTCTAATATCATGACTGCATTTGTCTCTTTTTGCCCAGCATTTGTATATATAGTTTTGGGGTGGGGATCTCAACCGTTTTTAAGTTATGGCCCAAAGACTAGGTTTCCAAGGGTGGGGCCAGACCCTAGGGCCATCCTGGAAGCAAATGTGCATTCTTCTCTTTAAACTCAGCAATTGTATATGTGGTTATAATTATATGGTGGGGATCTCAACCATTTCCAGGCAATAAACTTTTTTTGACCCCACCCCTTAGCCAAGGGGGTCAGCCCCACCATTTGTACAATTTTGAATCCCTGCCTCCCATGAATGCTTCCGACCAAATATGATCGGTATCCAGTGCATATTCCTACAGAAGAAGTTGTTTATAGCAATCAAGCCAAATTGCCCCCTTTTGGTCCCGCCCTCGGCCCTCTGGGGGTCAGCCCCACCATTTGTACAATTTTGAATTCCCACCACCTAGGGATGCTTCCTGTCTAATATGATTGATATCCATCACTTAGTTCCACAGAAGAAGTCGCTTCAAGCAGTATAGCCAAATAACCCTTCTTGGCCCCGCCCCTCAGCCCCCTGGGAGGTCAGCCCCACCATTTGTACAATTTTGAATCCCTGCATCCCATGAATGCTTTTGATTAAATATGATCGATATCCAGCGCATAGTTCTACTGAAGAAGTCGTTTGTAGAAAATATAGCCAAATTACCCCTTTTTGGCCCCGCCCCTCAGCCCAACCATTTGTACAATTTTGAATCTCCACAACCTAGGGATGCTTCCAGTCTAATATGGCTGATATCCATCACTAAGTTCCAGAGAAGAAGTCGCTTAAAGCAGTTTCGCCAAATTGCCCCCTTTTTGCCCTGCCCCTCAGCCCTCTGGGGGGTCAGCCCCACCATTTGTACAATTTTGAATCCCCACCACCTAGGGATGCTTCCAGTCAAATTTAATTAAATTCCAATCAGTGGTTAAGAAGAAGAAAAAGTTGTTTAAAGAAATTGTTAACGGACGGACGACGGACACAACGGTATGGCATGTGACCAGGTGAGCAAGAGGCCCAAGGGCCTTAGCGGTCACCTGAGTTATATCATAGGAACTGGTAGCTTTATTTTATTGTTTAGATGTGATGTGGAAATCAGCATGTAAACTAAGTGAAATACAATACTTGTCATGTCATCAATGGATAAGAATTTGAAAATATTGGTAAATGTTCCCTTTGGGGCCCCGCCCTAGCCCCTGGGGATGGGGCAGGAATCCTAATTTTACAAAGTAAAACTCTCATTTACCCAAGATGATTCTGACTAAGTTTGAGCAATTTTCTGCTGAAAATGGATAAAATATATACCGAAAAGTGTTATTTCCCTATATAAACTATAT